TTTATCCCCAGTCTCTTAATGTTACACAACGTTAGGTTTCAGTGGAAGGGCAGACCCAGAAAACGTAACAAGGACACGGAGCCTAGGCTCAAATCTTCATGCAAGAAGCCATGTGGGAGCTGCAGGTCAAAGCTGCAGCACTTTATAGCTTTACATAAAGGACAAACAGGACAAAGGGTTTTTTATAGCTTCATAAATCCAACCAGGAGGTAAAAAGCTATACCAAAACAGCTATAAGCACATTTCCTCCCATAGGAATTAGACTCAGGGTGGGGGGCAGTAGGAATTGGACACTGCTGGCTACAGCTCACTGAAAAATATCAACAACTCATGATTTTATTTTCTCATATTGTCTCAAATTTGAGTCTTATGAAAAAGGGAAAAGAATAAAGAAATTCTTTAAAACAGAAAAAAAAAATGCCATAGCACATGCCATAACTCATGTAGTGGCCCATATGTACATTGTTATGCATGGTAAAAAAACAGAACAAAAAGCATCCTCATGGTGTCACATCATGGTAGTGGTATGATACTGAATTGATTACTGGTAAGAATTGATGGGAAGATAGATTGAGCTAAATATAAGATAATTCTGAAATAAAATCTGTTGGAGGCCACACACAAGATTGGTGAGAATAATCACTCTATGTAAAAAGAAGGCGTATTAAGACTTTTCCAAGTTCCAAGTTATGTCTGTATAATGGTTGCATGTATTTTAACTGCTCCGATGACAAATGAAATTTAAATATGCTGATTTCAGAGGCTCATAGATGCAAACCAACCGCTCTCTTTACAAACTCTGACTGGTCGTCATGGTTGCGGTTGTGGCCTTCGGCAGAGCGAGGAAAGCCAAAACAGATTAGGGAGACGGCATGTGCCAAAAATCTCCTTATTCAGCCCTCTTCTAAACAAGCAGTTTTCCCACATGAATGAAAAAACTTCTGATGGGTAATGCTTGAATTGTCTCTAAAGTGCCTTCAGATTACCTGTAATGAGTTGGCGCTATATAAATAACCTGAATTATATATTTTTAATTTTCAAATGCAGTATATTATGGGACCTATAAACAAGAGTGTTTTCGAGCCAAAGCCTTCCAAGTCTTTAGCTTTTTCTCTATCAATATATATTTGTTTCCTTGTTCTCAAAGGGGATATTTGCTTTTCAGAAGTTTTCTATCGTTTTGTTTCCTTATTTGAACAATTGCTTTTCATTCACCCTCGAAAATGAATATCCTGTGTAGTTTTTTTTTCAAGTATAAACCTCGTTGTGAAACAGTCTTTAAATATATGGCAAAAGTTTAAGTTTTTAACACGCTAAAATATGCCCATGAAGGATGTATGGAAGAGGATTAGGGCCACTGAAAAGAAAAAGTTAACTGATTTTTAAATTTTATTTCAGTATAATATGACAAAAAAAGTCAGAATTCTGACTTTATTCTCAGAATTCTATTTTCTGACAACAAACATGTCAGCATCAAGCCATAGCCAGGTCTGTTTTAGAGATTAGCTCTCATGTTTTTATCACCTTCTGCTCTTCCATTAATGAAATAGCATCACCAGATTAAAGTCACAATTCTCAAATTAAAGTCAGAATTAAAGAGATTAAAGTCCTAATTCTGAGATTAAACACCTAATTTTGAGAAAAAAAGCCCGAATTCTGAGATTAAAGTCAGAATTCTGACTTTTCCCCATACTATACTAAAATGAAATTTAAAAATCAGTCAACCTTTTTTGATTTTTTTTTCAGTGTCCCATCCTCTTCCGTAAGCATGAGACACCAGTTTACAGTAGCTAATTTGTTACAGCCATCAACTGGTGAAGCTAATTTCATTTGCACTAGCAGAGCTTAATCATTTCCTACAGCTAAATAAATCGACAATATGACAGATCTCAGCTCAGAGCCAAATATGCCATCACTCATCTCCTTACATCTTTCAAACATCACAAACTAAACCAATTCTAGGATTTGGACCCCTAAAACCTAATACTTTTAGAGATTTTTTTAAACTGCTCACAGATCAACGCCCTTTCTCCTGTTGTTATTACGGTGTAAGAGTTCAATGATGCTAGCTGGAGTAGGACGACCCACTTCAAAATCTCCCACTTCATTTTAAGTTAACAGAAGTTGCAGGTGAGAATTCTTTATGAAAATTAAAGCATTGATTTTCCTTTGGGTGTTCCATCCTCAGGGTTTTGAAAGAACCTGAATTGAGATCCAATTATCTTCTCTTGTTACTCTTAAGTTGTCCCATTACTATACCTGCAACTCTGCAGTTAAGAACCACCACAAACCCGTTATCCCTGGTGTACAGACTCTGGATACATTTATGAAATATTGACAGGGATGGAAATCTTGGTTGAAAGCTGTAATTGGACCAAAATAATTCAAAAGAGTGGCACATTTCCCATACATTAACTTCTTAAGGCTGTATTGCAAATGTAGTTAAAATGTAAATACTTGTTTTAAAGGGTTATTAAAGGCAGGTAATGTTTGGTTTATTGAAAGATTTTATCAGTCCTTGTGTGAATGGATTTGGCTGACATTTAAGCACAGATTCCAATATCTCGTCAGTGTGGGGACTTTAAATATATTTGTGACAACGGTACCGCTGCTGAAACTCCTTGAAACAGACCAGTAGTGAGATGTTCAGCATCATCCTTTTCATGCTTTTTGCATCAACTGTCATGGTTGCTATGTGACGGAGCATGCAGGCGGTAAAAGGCAGGAAAGGCTGGACCTGTTTGAATCCAGAGTCAAAACTCTTCTGGGCTCCTTATTTTCCACAGACCTCGAAGGATCCAGTCCACATAGACCAGGTCCTTGAAGGATGCAGCCTCTAAAATCGAACACACCCCAAGTGTCCAAGCAGTGTGCGGCAAAGTTGCAGTTACTCCAAACTGCTTCCACTTTAAATATCTTACAATTTGCTGGAGTGTGTTTATTTTTGTTAATTTTTGAATGAGTCATTACTTTACAGTCCTGGAGTGTCCAATCAGGGCCAGTCTGCAGGCCTGAAGATGCTGGATCATTTTCACTGACTATTAGGGCTCTGCCATTTTGCAGAAGGTGGACTGGAAGAAAAAGACTGGATTTTTTCTTTGCACTGATCTCATTTATATTTGGCTCTAGCATTTTATCATTTTTGGTTTCCTGGCCTTGAATTCCTTCTTGTACACAGTGCATCATCTGTGTGGAAATGTGCTTACTTAAAGCTCCTGTGCATTGAAGAACATGGGTGCATTGATACAGGTGCTGGTCATAAAATTAGAATATCATGAAAAAGTAGATTGATTTCAGTAATTCCATTTAAAAAGTGAAACTTGTATATTATATTCATACATTACATACAAACTCATATATTTCAGATGTTTATTTTGTTTAATTTTGATGATTACAAATGACAACAAATGAAAATCTCAAATTCATCATATCAGAAAATTAGAATATTACTGAAGACCAATAAAAACAAAGGATTTATAGAAATGTTGGCCAACTGAAAAGTATGAACATGAAAAGTATGAGCATGTACAGCACTCAGTATTTAGTTGGGCCTCCTTTGGCCTGTATTACTGCAGCAATGCGGCGTGGCATGGAGTCGATCAGTCTGTGGCACTGCTCAGGTGTTATGATAGCCCAGGTTGCTCTAATAGTGGCTTTTAGCTCTTCTGAATTGTTGGGTCTGGTGTATTGCATCTTCTTCTTCACAATACCCCATAGATTTTCTATGGGGTTAAGGTCAGGAGAGTTTGCTGGCCAATTAAGAACAGGGATACCATGGTCCTTCAACCAGGTACTGGTAGCTTTGGCACTGTGTGCAGGTGCCAAGTCCTGTTGGAAAATGAAATCTGCATCTCCAAAAAGTTGGTCAGCTGCAGGAAGCATGAAGTGCTCTAAAACTTCCTGGTATGTGGCTGCGTTGACCCTGGACCTCAGAAAACACAATGGACCAACACCAGCAGATGACATGGCACCCCAAACCATCACTGACTGTGGAAACTTTACACTGGACTTCAAGCAACGTGGATGAAGTGCCTCTCTTCTTTTCCTCCAGACTCTGGGACCTTGATTTCCAAAGGAAATGCAAAATTTACTTTCATCAGAGAACATGACTTTGGACCACTCACCAGCAGTCCAGTCCTGTTTCTCTTTAGCCCAGGCAAGACGCTTCTGACGCTGTCTGTGGTTCAAGAGTGGCTTGACACAAGGAATGCGACAGCAGAAACCCATGTCTTTCATACGTCTGTGTGTGGTGGTTCTTGAAGCACTCACTCCAGCTGCAGTCCACTCTTTGTGAATCTCCCCCACATTTTTGAAGGGGTTTTGTTTCACAATCCTCTCCAGGGTGCGGTTATCTCTCTTGCTTGTACACTTTTTTCGACCACATCTTTTCCTTCCCTTCGCCTCTCTATTAATGTGCTTGGACACTGAGCTCTGTGAACAGCCAGCCTCTTTAGCGATGACCTTTTGTGTCTTGCCCTCCTTGTGCAAGGTGTCGATGGTCGTCTTTTGGACAACTGTCAAGTCAGCAGTCTTCCCCATGATTGTGTAGCCTATAGAACTAGACTGAAAGACCATTTAAAGGCTTTTGCAGGTGGTTTGAGTTAATTAGCTGATTAGAGTGTGGCACCAGGGGCCATCAATTTTTAACCTTTTCACAATATTCTAATTTTCTGATATGATGAATTTGAGATTTTCATTTGTTGTCATTTGTAATCATCAAAATTAAACAAAATAAACATCTGAAATATATGAGTTTGTATGTAATGTATGAATATAATATACAAGTTTCACTTTTTAAATGGAATTACTGAAATCAATCTACTTTTTCATGATATTCTAATTTTATGACCAGCACCTGTAGGTGATGCTTCCAGCAGCGAGAGACCCAGATAGGAAGTAAACCACATTTCCAATACCCAAACAGAGCCTCATTAGATAGTTGGTTGCTTTAGGATGCAGTCAATTTCTAGGAAAAGAAAAAAAACTAAAACCATGCAATGTTTGCCCTTCAAATGTATTTATTGATGTACTGAACACTGAAAAAAATCCAAAGTATCCAAACACAAAGTAAAGAACATATACATCCTCTTAAATAGTCAACAAAAGATATTCTGATCCAAAAAGGCTGTAAACCAAGTCAGACTATACAACTTCAAATAAATAATTATTCCCATTAAGTAGTGAGATAGGACGGTTTTGGAGGGAGCGGTTTTTCACGCCAGACCATCAGCAGAATTGGCAAGGACCAAACGATCCTCAAAAGGTTTCAAAATGGGAGAGGTCAACGGCGGCGTGAAAAATGTGCTCCTCGTCTCCCCCCACAGCAGCAAGTACCACAACTCATCTCGACTTAAAGTTTAAATTTTACAAGTAACAACAAAAGGAGGAATAGATAAAAGAAAAAAAAGCAGTTGCAAAGAACTCTATGCATAGCACACTGCTTGTTTGAGGGGGCAAGCATGACTAGTAACTGGCTGAAACACCAAGCAGGATGCAGGTTCAGTAGTCTGTGCGTCTAGATGTTTGGTCACGCTGATCTCGTTTCCGGGAATTTTGTAGCCAATTTAATTTCATTGTTTCTCTGGATGTTAATACAACTGCTTCGCTTTTCTTCCCCAAACATTATAAAGCAATATACACCTTTTTACGATTTCAAAGACAGGTTATATGCATTACGTATATACGAGTATGAAAGAAAGCAAAGTTTTTTCCAAACTGTGGTTTATATCCATTCTTTACCACATAAATATATATATATATATATCTAATGTTTATATATATATTAAAAAAACAAATGTCTATACTTTTAATAGTTTTTTTTTCTTTTTTCAACAAAGCAAGACTATCTACAAACCAAACAACCAACATATTTGATGCACTGAAATGCTAGTCCATAGGACAACATCTTTTAACCTAAAGGAAATAAAAGCTTTCAAAAACAATATCTTACATACTCGGTGAATGAAAACAAAAAACAAAAAGTATAATCACACTTTCCAACAAAGTCTAACCTAGAACAAAAAGGTCTGCTTAATACAATGTAAAAAAAAGTCTTATTTACACAGCTCTGAAGTTATCCCTTTGATTCTTCTGGCTTTCTTTTTAAGTGCCTCCACCATCATCAACTTGTCAACAATCTTTCTTACAAAGTATGTAAAAACCCCCAATGTTCAATATTAAGACAAAAATCTGTCCGATACCGTAGATACGCCACAAAAACACCTTGAGCTCCATCTGACAGAAATCTTACAGGAAGAACTGATTTTAATCCCCCATAACCTTTTAAGATCTCTCCTTACTCTAATTTTGCTTGCACTAGTTTTATCTTTTTTTTCCCCCCGCCCCCGTTTCCAAATCTAATCGGAAAAGTGAATTTTTAGTCGAGCAGACGACCAGGGTTGAAGAAAGACCCACAAGATGACTTACAAATGAAACCAGCACTGGTGCCGATTCTGTAATCTAAAGGTAATACAAAGATCTCAAAAGGTATCTTTTACTTCATAAATCTCTCCAGAAACATCAGCCACTGCAAACTTTCCATTTAAAGTTCAAAAGCTCACAAGGTGTCATATGAAGATATTTCTCTAAGTATCCAAGTCAAAATATTTTGTTCCAGGTCCAGTAAAAAGTTTCTCCAAATTTTCTTTTTATAAAAATAGATGCTTTTTTTAAACCCACATCAAAGAGGTTCTTAGCTCTTTGGCAAGGTACTGCTTTAAGAATTTTTTTTGTCTTTTTATGCGTTAGGTTTACAAGAAGCAACATTATGCAGCCAACCAATTACCAACTCAGTACAATAAAATAACAGAAACGGCTCAAAGTAAGTACTCGCTAACCACTCAAAGCATTAACGCACCGATGGCAAATCAGGACACAAAGAAAAGTCACAACACATAGCTTTACGAGACTGTATCAAAGTAATGTGCGAGGAAAAATCAAGAAACTTTAGTAACCTTATAGGTAATCATCCGAAGACGGCAAGAGATTCAATGTCACAGGTTTTAAAACCTGAAGAGTTTTTTTCTGTATTAAACTAATGGAAATATTCAAAGCTTAGCAATGGTGGAAAAACAAAAACAATGTAGGACTCTAAATATCGATTACAAAGCTGTTTTACTAATGTAGAAAGTTATGGTCAATAAGCTTCAATTTCCCTTTTTTCGTGTTCAGTTTTCTAGAAACAATCTTAGTGAGGGGAGTTTAGGCTTTGTGTGTTTTGTTAGTTTTGAAAGAGACTTGCAGAACTCTGTCCCCAAGGCGATATCCGTTCAAGCTGGCGATGGCCACCGCCGCCTCGTCGTAATTAGTCATGGTGACAAAGCCGAATCCTTTGCACTTGTTTGTGTTGAAGTCACGGATGACCTTGACGTTTGTGACGGCACCGAACGGCCCAAACATCTGCCAGAGGATGCTTTCGTCTGCGTCTGGAGCCAGGTTGTAGACGAAGATGCACCAGCCAGTGCCTGCGTGACCCGGGATGTTGATTCCAGCCAGACTGGTCACCCCATCGATTGCCATGGGTGAGAACCGACTGAAGGGAAAAACAGAAAAACCATTGTTCAAGACAAAAACAGAGCGATCTGCTTAAAAACAGGTTTTTATCCAGTCTGGGCAGTCCCTACTAGAGGGTACAGGTGCTCAGCATCACAATAACATCAACACAATTGCATTGACGACAGTAAATCTATTACTTTTTTTTTTTTTTTTAGCATTTTTCTATCTTAGAGGTATAGAAGAGGAATTTTGTGATGTTTTGAAAAGACACACCCTCTGCCCTTTTAAAAAACACACATGCTAAACCGTGCACCTGCTCATCGTGCACGTTCTGTTTAAAAGTTGCCATTTACGTCTCTCATACAAGCTTATTTTCCAAACGATGTGACAAAATGTGACTTTAAAAGCAGCAAACAAAACAAAAGCAGGTGCACATGTTTGTGTTTACATTTCCCCACACTTTTGTTAAGCTCTATATAATATTACAATGTCCTCGAACTGTGACCTTTCAGGTCAGGGCATCTTAATCTCACAAGTTGGCCAAAATTCAGCTTCCCCAAGTTAAAACAGCTGTGGCTTCTTTCCGAGCTTTAAATCAAGAGAAAAAAAATCCCTCGAAATCAAAGGCAAAGCATAACTGAAAAATAAACATCCCATTACTGTTTGGGTTTTTGCCCAGACCAAAATACAGAGGCACAGAAAAGCCCAGGCCATTAGTGAACGTGGTTTTACGGTTTTGGGAAACAAAATTCAGAGTGCTTGGAGAGCCTATGAATTATTGCAGCAGGTGTCACATGGGATTAGCTGCTCCAGTTGGCCTCTCAGGGAACATTCACTGTGACAGGTGTGCTCCCAGCATCAAGGACCCACAGAGATTTGGCAACGAAGACTTGCACCAAGGAATGAGGTGCACATGAAATCAAAAGTGTATTGTTGCTGATGGCCCTTTGAGCCTCAGAAAGCTGGACTTCAATCACACTTGAGGAAACGACACCAATACTCTGGCAAATCCTGAAAGGTGTCTGACGCAACCAAGTTTAAAAACAGAAAAGGCCTGTCCATAATGGATCAAAGCAGGGAAAACCAAGCTCAAAACGCAGGTATGTAATTTGGTGCAATAGCAAAGATCATTATAAAATGCGGGCCTTTGTGATGTAGACAACCCTGTAATCTAGACATGTGGCATCCATGCAGCTGAATTCTACCAGACTGCATTTAAATGAGAACTAGAAGAAAAAAATGACACTGTGCCATTTTCAATTCTCCTCAGACCGTTATCCATGCAAGCAACAACCTACAAGTGAGTTCAAAGTGACCGCAAAATGTCAGTTTCATGTTTTTGACTAAAAATCTGAAAATAATCAAATGCAGAACATGCAAGCCCCAGATATAATTTGTAACCTATTAGATTTTAAAAGAAAAATCTAGACTATTTCCTAAACAATTTAATTTAATCCTGAGAATTTGTACTCATTCATTAGAAGGATATTTAATGTAGTTTTATCATTTTGGAAGTATTTTTATTTTAAGGTAAATTCAAATGCATATGATTTCTGTCTACGATATCAATACATTTTGTGTTTTGTGCCCCTTAATCCTATACAACAGCTAAGGTAAATCAGCTGTCACTCACCACCACTACCCCCTACAAAGCAAAAACACCTGCTTTGAGCCCATTATGCCACACCTTTATTCTCCATTAAAAACAATAAAACTAATGCTTTGGGCGTGGGATTTATTTACTGCTGTAACATGAAAGATAGGAGATGTGAGGCAGTAACATTCCTGACTAAAAGCTGGTCTAAGAGGTTGTAAACTTACCAAAATAGGCCATGCTTTAATTAGTGAGCCTACCAGCCTTTTCCACTTTTTTAAAATTCTCACATATTTTACATATTACAGTTTATAGATGTGAAAATGGATACAACTTAAAGCTACTTAAAGCTTATAAATTAACTTTCATGTCTAAGATGTGCTAAAGTTTTCCCATTTTTTTTTCTTGAAAAAAAAAAAATTTCCCTATTCCATCAGAAAATATCACAATTATGCGTTCAAATTTATATCATGTGTACAATATACACACACAGCGTAAAACACTAATTTTATTTTGTTATAATCTTTGTGCAAAGTACAAAACGGAGGAAAATGTAAACATGGTGGAGCCTGGGATACTCTGTTGCATCAGCATCATCTACATCAAGAAATAAAATGTTGCTAATTTCTAATAAGAGCTGAGTTTTTCAAAGTAATACTACTGTCAAGCTCATTACATATTTGTGCTCCTCTATAGCACACATAAAATCTGCTGCTTTTTAATTTTCTTACTTTGTTTTTCAGTAATGGCTTTTATCGTGTACTGAAAGTGTGATAACGAGCATATAGGAATAAGAATAAACCACTTATATAGGTTATTATACATGGTGCTAACATTGTGATGGAGATCACATTCTTGAAGCCTTTGAAATGTAAATATAAGGAAGAGGGGATTTGTCTGAGAATCAGGAAATAACTCATGTAGCTTTCTTTTGGACTGCCTGTAATTTTAATTAGGGCTGAAACAATCTGATAAATCGATTGAAATAATTATCAACTATTGAGTAATCGATCAATAGTGAACTGGAGTGTAGAGACTCTAAAATGTGTCTAAAGCTGAAAGAGCAGCCCACCTTGAGCAGCAATTATACCAAAATTGTAAAAAAATAAAAAAATATAAAAATTTTGCATTAAATACAAAAGTTTTTTGTCATTCAATGCTCTCATGCTCTATTCAGAACTCTCCAAGTGGAAAAGCTTTATTTTTACCTGATTTAATTTCACCAAAATTCTTCTTTAAGGAACCATTTGCTAACCGATTATCAAGAAATTATCGACATATTAATCGATTTGCAAAATAATTGTTAGTTGTGATCCTAATTCGATTCTACAACTTTGAAATATATTATTCCATATGAAATTGCAATAATGTAGATGAATTAATGAACAAAAACTAAAAGGCTTTCCGAAGCTACACTGATCCGAATCAGAAGTACTTTTATACAGCAGGCTTCGGTAATTGCCAAGCGCCACGAGGCAAAGGGCCCCCTAAACAGGATGTGACATTCACAGGTCTTTAGCTTGTAGTGACACAACTACCAAATTGGGTATACTTCAAGTCAGCAAACTTCTCTAAAACTGATGTTTGGGAGAAAAAAAAAGAAAAACGATCTTTAGGTTTAAAGCTACAGTGTGTAATAATTACAGGGATATACAGTCAGAAATGTAATATATTATACATGACTATGTTATTTATCATCATCTACGAGCTCAGCCTCTTAACCTTAATATTTGCGTTGCCTTAGAATTCGTTATTTTTAATTACATAGGAGCGGGTCTCGCAGCCATGGAGGCAGACATCTTTGCGCTACGGGAGCGCAGAGGCAACAAACTAGCGATTGCGAGATCGCCAAAATGTCACAACGATGTAGAAAAAAATAACGGGTATATTTATTATCTTAGGTCTACATGAAATCTATACCCTACACAGACTAATGAAATACTATCTGTAAAATTATCTATGTAAACAAACCTCATCACTTGAGAAGGTAGGTGATGCGGACGTGTTGGAAGACATTTTGTCCCGTAACGCTCACCGTACTGCTGGGGGGGAGATGTTCATGTTGCTGCACTCTGCAGTCTGACCACTAGATGTCGCTAAAAGTTACACACTAGCTTTAAGAGTATCAATTTGTTTACATTCCTAGTACATTCCTTAAGCTAATTTGTTTGGGTTCTTTTAAAGATATGGTCTGATTTGGTGAAATCTTAGAAAATTATATAAAAATAGATTTATATTTATAGTACCTCAAAAGTAGTTCTGTAAATTATAGAACATATAATTAAATGGTAATGTAGTGATTGGCTTGCATGACTTTAGACTTTTAATGCCTCATTAGCCATTTAGATCAACAAACAACGCTCAGGGCCCTGTCACACCGAGCCCGACGTCCCAGAATCTCCTAAAACGCCACCATACGCTGAAATTTCTATGTAATTTTTTTAAGTTTGGCCATATAAATAGCGTATTCACAACGAGTCCTGAACTTATGTCAAATGATAGCTCAACTGATGCATAACGCACTGCAGCGTAATACCCATGACTTCATGGGCATTTCAAAGCATCAGTTAAAGCTGCTCCCCTAAGGCGCCCGACCTGTATAAAAATATGTCTTTGATTGTCTGCCTGCCCCCCCTCCAAAAAAATAAAAATAAAAATAAAAAGCAAGACTGTAAACGTGGGTTTGCAATCGCAGCAGATTCATTATAATGTCTGCTAGGATGTTTGTTGGTCGTGAACGCAGGGAGGATCCATTACACTCACCCTATGATGGGGATGCAGTCTGGAGAAGTTACTCAGGTTTTGGATAAGCTGGACGCCACAACTTATGAGTAACTTGCACTTAACTTATGTCAACGATCAGATAACACACCCTGCGTATGGCATACATCGAAAGTTTGAGCAGGCTCAAAACCTCTCGATGTACGATTTATGTCGTCGTGTTTCAGCGTGCTCATAACTTATACAAAACGTACCCATAACTTATCCAACGTATGTCAGCGTTTTAGCCAGATTTGCCATACGTCAAGCATACGCTGGTCTAAATCGTCAAGGTGTGAGAGGGGCTCAGCGAATTGAGCAGCTTAAACTTATTTTCTGTTTTCAGTCAGTACATCTACGGCACTAACGCATCAGCTACTATCATGTCACCCCACCCAGCATTGCCAAAATAACCTTTTGAACAGTGTGTTTACAGCTGCACTAAACGTAAACAACAGCTGGCACCGCTTGGGTTTGATTGAGGCAAAAATGTGATCCAAACAGCAGGTAATCCTCCAAGAATTTCTAATGAGGACCATCATTGCATCTACCTTCTCTTCTCACACCACAAATCTACTTTTTAGTCTTGCAACCTTTGAATATTAATCTCTTCCTCCGTGTTCCTCTACTCCTACTGGATCTGTACTTTAATTACAGGATGTGTTCATACAGTCTGTCGGTGATCTCATGTTGAATCAGTGAGACCTTGAGAAGCATTAACCACCTACGTAACAATATAAGCCCCCCTATTAGGTCTATGATCTCCCAGGATCAATTAAAACTAATTTTAACAGAAAATCTGATTACCTTTTGACTCCATAGGCCATGTTCAGCAAATTGTCCAACCTTGAGGAAAGGAGAAAAAAAAATGAATAAATAAAATCAGTAAATAGAAATGTTTTTGAAGATGATGCATCATGAAAAGATGACAGATGGTAAAATGGTTTCTATTCAATGAGTAATGTCAGTAGGTTCGCTCAAGGGTATTCCAGGACCTTTATAGCCTCCACTAACCTGCTGACTGCTCTCGTTTTTAATAATTACCCTACACAGCTTAGACTTTCAGTTAATGCTGGGCTTTAAAATAATTAAACTAAGATTGCATTTTATATAAGAAAGAAAAAGTGAAAAAGAATGGTGGTGTAATGATGAGGATGAAGAATTCAGTCTGCTTGGCTCTGTTCAGAGTTTTTTCCCTTTAGGTATGCCCCTATTACCTGAAGCGTTGTGCCTGCTGTGCGAGGGGTCCTGGGTACCTTCGATTGGGCGACTGATACAGCTGAGACAGCAGTGCCTGGCTGGTCTTCTGGCTCGGGTTGTTTGCAAACTTGACTGTAATGGGTTCAGTTGCACCTGGTGGCTTCTGACAGTTCAGACCCTTTATGGCCTCCTCAGCCTCAACTCGCCGGTCAAAACGGATGAAGCCGACGCCCCTGGAAACGCCTAAGGAGAGATTAACACTCAGGCTCATTGTTCCATTACACCATTTGTCTTGTAGCTATACAGCTCTTACACCAAGATAATCAAGTTACCAACTTTTACACAAATTCTTAGAATATTATTCTTCAAACTCTTCGTCCTCTTGAATGCAAAATTAGCCATCGAGTAAAAATAAAGGTTTCTTAAATTTTACAATCGTATTCCAGCAATTTTCTGATTAAAACTGGTTTAAAAATATGGGTGTATGTTTTTTTTATCATCTTCACAATGAGCTTCTTCAAGACTTCTGAATAAACTTCACCCCCTCTTTAAATTGAATTAGAATGTAAAAACTCCAATTAAGCAGATCTAATTGTACTGAAAGAAATAACCAAAATAAATGACTTTTATAATCAAAAATCTAAGGTGAAGATAACATTTAATTATCTCTTTAATTTATTTAAGACCTTCTGACATTTAGTTCAGCCACTTATATCTAATCCGAATGTTTCAATACAGCTCTTATACAAATAGACTTGTTTGATACATGTGAATGCAGAGGAATTAAGTTTAGCTCACTTGAATTTCAATGAATCAGAGGTATAATTTAATGTTTTCTCTTGCAGGTTGAACCAGAGAGACCTGCATAAAATGAAGTGAAAAGCCCTGGAATGTGTAATTTTGTTTTTTGAGAAATAAATGTGCCCACGGTGCACGCTGAAAGGAGGGTCAAATCAAATGTCTGCAGATTTGCTGAGCTTTTTGTAAACAGGTTCAGCTTTCAAATGATGGCTGAGAAAAAGAAGATGCAAGAGCTCTAAATACATTTGTTTTAGGCTGTGAAAAAGGAATATTTAAACCTTGAAGAAAAAGAAAAAGCTTAAAAAGAAAATACTGAAGGAAAGAAAATTTTAAGCAGACTGCTGCTGCTTTAAAGGTGCCTCTTTCATATTCTGTTGATGCATATTTATGAACAGCTCTTGTGGAAAATTGTATTTTGGGTCTCACACCAGCAGCTCTGATTTATTTCCCAGCTTGGGCAGTATCATTTCATTCAGCGTTCCCAAAGGGGAAAAGAGAAAAATGTGAGAGTAAAAGAAGAGAAAAAGGGGAGGTAGTCGTGTTCGACTCACCAGTGACTTGGTCCACCAGGATACGTGAGGTAATAATGCGTCCGTATTGAGAGAAGAGCTGCTCTAGTTCCTTCTGTGTCATGGTCTTTGGTAAGCCACTAACGTACAAATTTGCATCTCTGATGGAGGCAGAGCTTGGCCGCGCATAAGAAACCTGCAGAAGGAGAGCACCACAAAGCTAACATCAACTCTTATTGGTACCATTTACCCATAAAGACATCGGTAGAAGCAGACATTTGTTTAGTTTTATCAATTTTTGGTTGCCTAGCTTCTCATTAAGAAATTTTTTTATACTGTTTGCAAAAGTCAAACAGTTAGATGCTGGTGAGGAAATCCACATTTTCAATTAAATAATCTGCAGAGTATAGTGAAGGTTAATTAAGAGGACTGAACCGAAGCAATAATTTCAGAGTGTTTGCTATAAAATCAAAGACTAATAGATAACCCTTATAATTGATAACCAACATTTCTGTTTCATCTTGATAAGAACGCAAAGAGTAGTGAAATCCTGAATGTATCAAATCCATCATCACCAATTACATTAAAACATCTTTTAAATAGGATTTTAACTTTATTTCTGTCATATATTTTGACAATAGCAGTTGTTTTTTCCAGCTATACCAGAGTGGAACCACATCCCATTAAAGAGTAGGGTTGACCCAGTGACCCGATATTATACCCATACTGCAGCTTTTAGAACCGGCTGATGTAGATATTTACCAGATACAATATTCGTATTACTCATACCAGCTTCTATTACCCATTTTATGATGTAAAATGTTAGAAAATACTTGATCAAATAAAACTGAAAACAAAATTTTATCAAAGGTATAAAAAACAGTGACCCATATAAAGTTAACCAATGAGTTACAGAAACTTAACAGAAGGGTTCTTTCCATCAGCCTGAAAATATCTGAGATTTTAGATGCCGGCTGATAAAATTTGATACTTTCCAATACTTGATAATAGATCCCTAGTAAAGAGCCTTTAAAATGGACACTGTGGTAAATATAAAAAAAATATGTCTAGGTTGTTTTAAGTTAATCTAGGCAGGCTGCCACCCTTTAGAGGGTGAAACCATTTCTTTTTGGTCACATAGTACCAGAATATTACAGGCATGAACGACAATTGGAACAAGCAGTATAACCCTTTAGTTGCTTGGAAGCAATTGTACATTAGGAAGCTTAGCAGAGATGTGTGGCATTAACTGGTTTATAATCAAAGAAAAAATGTGACATTTAAAACTAGAATTAAAAGCGGGACCAAAATCCCAACAATATTAAACAGACCTTTTCAAAAAAAAGAACTGGTTCAACTGTCACTGTTCATTGGTTAATCCAGCTAGCATTGCTAAATCCAGAGTGTTTTGCTCTGATACTGGGGTCATGACCCCAGGGATATAGAGAAGGCTGACATTTCTTTACATTGCATATTCCATAACACACGAGGTTGAAAGATCAAAATGATCAACCAGCCACCATCAAGTACTTTCTATCAACTGCTAAAAGTCTGGTTATCTTTCATTTTCTTGGTCTTAATAAATAAATCATGACTGTCTTATGAAAGAAATCCTTTTAGACATTTCAGATCTCATTTTAAATGCTACCATTTAGATATTCTTTCCACAGGGCTACAACAAACGATCATCATTCAGCCTCTTGGCTCTGGGGTACCATTATTAGAAAAGCATCCCAACTTCTCAGTACATCTTCAAAAATTGGGCATATAAAAATTGATGGTTTCATTCACAAGGTGCTAGATAGCCAATTTTGTTTAACTCAAAGTATTTGGGGTCATAAAAAGAAAGTATACCTCTTTAAAAATATATTTTTTATATATTTTGCACTCTTATTTAAAAAAGGGGGTTAGGGTAGATTATTTTTCTTTGTATGGCAAGTAATGACATGATGGCGTCTGAGATTTGTAGCTTTATAAACCAATTTAGATTGAAATATTTTTTCTAACATTCTATATCTAAACCCCAATGTTTACAGATTATGGAAGATATTTCTATTTACACTAACTTAGAATCCTCACAGCTTGTTCCAGCATAAACGTGGCCAATCCCATCCAGTCCTATGTAGTCTGGACTGATTTGTCTTGCCCTCAGCACACAATGAGAGAAAAATAATGCCTCACAAACACATTTATCAATAAAAAGACTAATTGAAATGCAAAAATGCATTGCAGAGCCAATCATTACTACCAGTGCTTCAATTAATTTCTCCTTAGTCCAACAGCTAATTTTTAGTCAAAGACATTTATCAGGGTTCCTACAGCATAAGGCAAGTTAAATTCAAGACTTTTAGGAGTTTTTAATGCCACTTAAATTCGCTACCAGGTTTTTCACAAGAAAAACCTGGTAGCGATTTTTTATTTTAACATAAACCATTACTTTCTGGCCCAGTAGATAGGTTTCAAATTTTTAAAAACTTTCCATATAGGAAGAAAGCTGAAAACAAAAATACATTTTTCAAGACTACTGATCTGAAATCACCAACTTTGTTTTGTTCCCTACTCAATCCCTCTACTTTCATTGTCGACGTACCGCCAAACATTATGCTGAGATTTTGTTCTACTGGCGCGGTTGGTGGTGCGAGAGATGCTGTGGAGGAGTTGCAGAGACAAGGGTGGAACAGAACGGAGAAATACCTGCTGCTTCGCCATAATTTCATTTTGACGCTTTGAGTTTCACACTTCGCACATGTGTCTCCGATGCCTTGATTCCTATCGTGCTTCATCTACATTCCCTGGCAGTGGTTTTAGCCGTGCAGAAATCTCTTGAATAGCCCATTTTTCGTTGAATTTAAAACTTCCCCATGTCGTCCAGATTTTTAAAAGTTACGGGCATATCACCCATAGGTCCGGCCGCAACATCTTTATTGGTTCAGCTATAGTAACAGAACCAAAAATGGTTAGAGTGAGCGGTCCGGTGAATGTAAGAAAAATATTGTAAATTATTTTATTTTTTGATATGGATTACAAAAATAAAATCCTATTTATGGTGTGGTAACAATTTTAAGACCTATGAAAGACTTATTTAAGACATTTTAATACCAATTAAGGCCTTGATTTTATTTTGAAGAATTTAATACCTTTTAAGATTTTAAGGATCTGCAGGAACACTGATTATCCAGTAAGCAGCAAGGACCCCAATCTAGATCAAATACTGCATTTTTTGGCAAAACAATTTTAAGGATGACATTGTAAGATTTTTTTTTTATTAAAAAGGTAGAACAGACTCGAATGATTTTACTCAAAATTCAAAGACCCAGTCTTTAAATTTAATATGAGAAAAGCAGCTACTCTGTATGGCTATAGTAAAAACATGGTCTAATGTTCCTTCTTTTATCAGCAGTGTAGAGTCACCACATCTGATAAGCGCACTACTAAATCGGCTCTGACGTGAATGCAAAACGTGTAAAAGCTTCACGACAGGATCTAGAAGACTCCGTCCTCTCACCTCTGCTTGTCTCAGTCTCCCCTTCACACTTTATTTCATGCTAATACGCACAAAGTGTACTCCTCCAGCAGACTATGGTTTATTTGCACATCTGACACAGCAGCAAGAGAACTTTAAATGTGCTGCACAAAGAAATGTAGCCATGTCCTACTTTCAGGGGCACGAACTGGGAGATTAACTGAAGCACAGACATGAAGAGAATTATAAGACTGCTTTGCTCGTGGAAATAAACTGATATGGTTTAGAAAATGTCATAACTATGCCAATTTTTTTTTGTGCTAAAAAAACAAAACATAGAGCCTAAAAGTTTGCTAATTTTTAAGCAAAGATGTCCCATTACACCCCCTCCACAGGATTTTTAGTAAAAACAATGACGCATTTAAAAAAAGAAATTACTGATCAGTCGCCACTGTCCACAATCCAACAACACTACATGTAAAAAATGAGTTTCCCCCGCAGCATGTGGAGAGCCATGTTGTCTGATGAATGCTAATGGCAGCCACCTCCCTGTAAAGTCATACAGCAGAGCTCCTGCACATGCAACCATAGAAACAGTTCTGCTCTACTTGAGGCCCAAGCAAAGCCGTCTGTGCCCAGATTAACAATAGGCTCCCTTTCCACCCTACCGTGCTCTGGCATCATAATGCTGCAGAGAAAAACAAGCAGAGGTAGATATCAGAAGCACACACTGGAGTTTTTCTAAAATGCATCTTACCTTGATGGTTTTAGTCTGAAGTCTTAAGCCATTTAAGGTATTTATGGCCTTCTCTGCATCTTTTGGGTCCACATAATTGACAAATCCATAACCTAGGCTCTGCCCTGCAAAACAAGAAAAAAAATGTTCAAACTAAGTGAAACTGGAAAGGAAAATGGACCAATACAAAGACTGACATTTTAACATAAAGAAAGGAAAAAGACTTATGAATCATGGACAAAAAAAGCCTTTTTTTCTTTCAGCTAAAACGAATGAGAATTGGCAAAGGAAGAAGTTTTTCCTTCCTTTCTCAGATCATGCGGTTGTTCAGGTCAGAAGTCCATTTTCAAATAATCTGTATAATATCAGATATTCCTAACAGCCAAATTACAGCTCCAAATTACATTCGTTAACAGTTCCTAACTACAATCTGTGTCAGGATTTTCCTTTCAGCATAATCTGAACAATAAATAGGGACCTGCTCTGTACACAAACCCACTGCAATTAGATTACCCATCTCACTGCTTTTTGAGTTTCTGCCCATTAATGTTAGCAAGACTGCATCAAATATCAGTAACTCAGGAAACTATCAAATGAAAGAAGCATAAATCAGTTTCTCATTTTAACGGCAGGGCTTTAATTGACAAAGGCGAAATGTAATTAGTCTACATCTTAAAACTTGGCCAAAAAAAACAATAAAAAGAAAACCTTTGTTATATTAATTATTGGGTTGAATAAAAACTTAACCAAATATTGTAAAGCAAAATTTCAGGGTCTCTGGTCATTCTGCAGAGCTAACTTTCCCAGAGATCCAATAAGTTCAAATCTATTGAAAATAACATTTTAGTTGGCAGTGAGGAATTTAAAATGTAAAAAAAAATGACATTCAGAAGTATTTCCAGATTTTCCAAAGCAGTTTTTAAACCAATTTTGTCATCAAGATGTTTTGAAGATTCACCACTTCAACACATTGACAATGTAGCATCAAGTTATTACTCAATTGAGGGATGTTCAAAACAGGAATGCATCCAACGACTGAAGGACACGAGCCTTAAGATTTGGGATTCATTAACTCGGATTTAGCAGTGAAATGGATCATTAAAAAATATTGCTTTAAATGGAAACCATTTAAATTTTAGATGCTTCTGCAATTGTCTAAACTGGCAGAGAGTGACGAGAAAAGCAAGCAGCCCTAGCTTTAATTTACTCATCCAACCTACAATTCCAGCAAAAAAGTAATGAGGAAAGATTTCCACATCGAGCTACGATGCAAGTTTAAAAAATAAGAATTTGAAAATCAAGACTAAATTAATCCAAGGTTGAGGATGGGAACAAAATGGTTCAATGAACAACTTTAGTAGTGAGACAGCAATCTGACCATCACAGTAACCTGAATTTATCAGCACTGAGTTTTTCCAGGTAAGTAAATTTTTGTACCTTTTAATCAGTGCTCCATTGTTGTCTATTTAATTCAACTAAAAAGCAATAAACAGTTTCGCCAGAATGTTTTGTTGCATTTAAAGCTGCAACAGCTACTTTTGGACATTAAGAATCACAGTAACCAAGACAGGGGAACCATTTATGCAACAGGTTTAAGACGCCCAAGTTACCACTCCAAGCATGTAGGTGGTGGTAATAAGCATACAGTGGGTTTACCATGACACAGAAAGGAAGAATGTTTCAGCTAGTGCCAAGATCCATGCAGGAAAACTAGAGCATGCACTGTTCCCATGCAGAAGTCTTGCATCAATGTGGACAAAAGCAAATTAAGTGCTATGAAGAAATGAAAACCAGGAATGGGGAGAGAAAAAACAAAAAAAAAACAAACAACTGTGTATTCTCCAATATCATTACCATAAATGTTCAGGAATTTTAACCATGTAATTGACCAATAACCACTTTAATACATGAACTAAACTCTGTAATTTATATTCAACAATGACTAACCTCATGCTATTCTCTTGAATAATTTCAAATCAATAAGAAAAAATAATTTTGTTGCATATGACCTTTTGTATAGAGCATATTTAAAATGAATGTGCAATTGCAATTTTGGTTTTCTCTGGGTTCCAAACTTCAGATATTATACAACAGTTATACAACATCCCCTTCCTTCAACTTCAGGAGTCATTTTATGTCCTCTTTTGTAGAAAAACTACAAATGTTATTCTGACCTCAATGACCAGATCATAAAGCTCATTATCTAGGGTAAAATAACCACTCAACCGACTTAAACACATGAACATCCGAAACATTTTCCTCCTGATTCCCATGTTTTCACTCTGTATTATGTCAGGCATACAGAAAATGATGGTTACCCAGTAACAAGTTAGAAGGGAGAGGGTTTGTATGTTTTGTTTTAATGAAGTGTTAAAAAGGACACAAAAACAGTGCTCTTATACCAATACCACCTTAAAGTCTTAACACCAAAATAAAATTGGGGCAAAAAAAAAAAAAAATGCCTTAAAAGCCACTTTTCTGTATTGTGCTTTCACCATTTTCTATCCAATCCCAGAGTATGATTAGTACCTGCTAACTCATCCGTTCTGCTGTACCATGAAGTCCCTGCAGACAGGAATGCAGCGTTAACTCATTACACATTTAAATTTCTTTTTCCTCTTTTCAAGCTTTCAGCATTTGAGCAAAACGTTTCTCCAGCCAAGAATTTCAATAGTAGTCCGGACCTTAAGTTGACACTTGATTACTCAGCAACTGACAGACTGCTTCCTGGATCCTTTAAGTTTGCTACAGCAGGAGGAAAATCAGAAAAAATAAAAAAAATTGCAACAGGGTGCTCTGCACAGTCTGACACAGAAACAATAGACCTCCTCGCCCACCTACTTTACCCAAATCATATCAGCAACAAGACATTTGGAGACGTGTCTGGCAGTGACAGTCCTTTCTAGAGCCAAGAACATATGAGACAGCTTCCCAACCCAATGCACTGAAAACCTGTATAAACTGCATGCTTTTGGGCTACCCATACTGAGTGGGAGTTTATGCTGTGTTAAACTCCTCATGGCCCATGGGGAACTGTTTTTATAAACAAAAACATAGTAGACATGGGCCGGTTACCAGTTTCACTGGATACCCTGGTATGAAAAATAACTTAAAACCGATCAAGTTTTCAGTCAATATTCCTGTGGTATAAAACTATTTGTTTCTCTTTTTAAAAAATCTCAAAAAAAGAGGACTCTGATTTTTAGCTGCAGCATCACAACCCCTTTTCGCACTTTCCTGTAGCTGAGGTTGGCGAAAGGAGGCGGGGAGCAACTCCAAACTTTGCAGTTTTTTCCCCCTTCCAGATGATGATAATACTGCAGGGCTGCATCAGTCAGCTCTAATGGAATACTTCTGCTAGACAGCAACGGCTTTGAGGAAAATGGTCACCATACGCAAGTTCGCACAGTGACAACTAGAGGAAGAAATGCAGCTATGATTGCATATCTGATGAACAATCTAGTTCCTTCTGCTAAATTCAAGGTATACTTGTGCAACTGTGGAACCATCTACAGGAAAAGATGGTACCTTGTACTTCCTCAGGAAGCTTAGGTCCTTCAGTGTTTGCAGCAAGTCGCTGCAGATCCATCCATCCGTTGTGGAGTGTATGATCTCCTCTGCCATCCTCTGCTGCGGTAACAGCAACAGAGCAGATGACCTAAAAGCTCAACAAGCTTATAGAGAACGCTGTCTGTATCCTAGGAACTCCTCTAGAGATGATTTCACAAAGAATTCTTCATAAAGTGAAGTTTATAGAACATGCTCTTCGAAGATGGTATTTTAAACAATGGTAAAAAGAAAATGCATTTTAAGTAAAGGGCTTCTCCAGATCCGATGCAACACTATGCTTTTTGAAATTCAGATTTGAAATGATAATCAAATTAAGAAAATTTTACCAGTCCAAATTGAATATATACACATATTGGATCTCCGCTTTAGATTAAAATTACTCAGATGTAACAGTTTAACCTTTCTAGGTTTCAGACCAGATGTTGCTTTTCTTTCACAAATTACATGCACTTCCTGTAAAATACTACAGCCAGTGTGAGAGCTGGAATTTTTGCTTTCAGCTACCATGACAAGGAAACGCCTCTCAACTCCACTGCAGGTAAACTTTCTGGGGTATGTTCTAGGTCACCTTCCTGATGTCAAAGTATTTTCAAACTAGAGGTAATGAGCTCCACTTTAGATGGACCAGAGGTCATTCCCCGAGATGTCCAATGTTCAATAAAAGTACGCTTTTAGATAATTTGAGGCGAGAATATTCTCTAAAGTGTCATAAATAGTTGATTTACCAATTTAATGCATAATAAAAAAAAAAAAAAAACAATTTCCAAAGTTGAGGACCGCGGCAACCAGCGGACTTCCGAGGCTAACGGCAGCCAGGGCTAACCGCAGCCCGTTTGCAGCGGCCCTCTCTTGGTGTAGTTGTATGTGAAGGACAGCTGGTTCTGATAGCGATTTTTGACTCAGCTTTGGAATCAGTTTTGGAAGGGTTTTCGTTGAAACGTGAGCAAGAAGAGGCTCTATGCTCATTCATTTTTAAGAAGGACATATTTGCCATTTTACCAACAGTCCGATTGTTTAGACTCCCCCACCAGCTTTCTGTCGCGCTTACGTCAGTCAGTTGTGCTCATTGGTTAAGGCATTGGCCAATATGCACAGACAGCGGTTTGAAAGACAACGGGTTGTTCTCAACAATCTTCCGATGCCTCATTCATCGGAGCCAGACTAAATCACACATTTAATCTCACATTTATTCTGGTTTATTAGGCTAGTATTCTGGAATTTGTTTTGTGTCAATGGGTAACAAGATGTCTGGGCCTCCCTACTGAAGCTGCTACCCCCGCGACCCGACCCCGGATAAGCGGACGAAGATGGATGGATGTGTAACAAGACAAAGTTATCAATTTGTTCATCAATAATAGGTCATTTGGATATTTATTGAAGGTTCCCACAAAAATATATGTGGGATGAGCCGCACAGAATCTTTGAGCCAGCAGCTCAAACTAGCATGGCTCAGGACTGTTCGCCTCCTCACCAACATTACTTGCAACCCAACGCAGTGCATTACTCCAACTCTACACAAAAACCAGGAGGATTTTTACTGCAGGGATGAGCAGGGAGCTGAGATACGGACAGTTTCTCATTTCAGAAGAACACAAGTATGGACTTGTGTTCTTGCAAAGTCCGTTCTTGACAAGAACTTAAAGAGTGAAAACTGGTAGAACGGGAGCGTACAGCATAAATCTGCATTCATGACATCACCACATTCAAAGCTCGCCTGGACCCACTTTTCACTTTATTAAAAGTCTAAATTACTTTTTTCATTTATTGTGGGAATAATGATTAGCAGTCAAAAATGCTAATCAAACAAACGTTTTGCCAATAAAAAAAAAAAAAAAAAGCAAGGCCAACATGAATCATACATGCTTTTATTACTTTTTTTCCTAGCATAGAGCATTGTTGAAAATATTACAAATACTGGTATTACTAAAAGAGAATTGTCAAAAAAAAAGGTATGATAAGGATTTGTCTAATATTAACCAATGAGGTTAAGAAACTAAACGGAAGCAGAAAGATTAAATCAACCTGCCAATACTGGAGATCTTAAATGAGAAATAATCCAATATTAGGTTTTTTGCTAGTATCTGACTGATATCCGATATTAGTATAGATATTTATTAGCAAGATGAAGGCTTTGCAAAAATACAAAATTAAAAACAAAACTTATGTTATTGTTCCATTATTAACAAAAATAAAAAAATAAAACTGGGGGGAGAACTATAGAGGACTTTAATTTTTATCTCCCAACTGAGATCTATTCTATAAGAATATCGACTTCTATTCCTTGAATCACCTTATATAAACAGGATCCAGTATAGACAACAGAAACAAGTAAAAACTTTTAAATGAGCTAAAGAGCTGACAGAGGCCTGCCGGGCATCCTGTAATGCAAACGTTAAGCCTTCACTGAACCAATTTATTTCTGTAAGTAAACATTCAAAACACCCTTTTATAACCAAGAGGCCGTCATTAAAGTAAAGGAGACTTGCCAAGATACCCTTTCAAACGGCAACACCCAGCTTCGAGTAAAACGCTGCTGCTGCCCACAGAGGGAGAAATGAAGATATCACAAAGCTGTTCCTGCTGCTGCAGCCAAAGCAGGAACATGTAAAGCAAAGAGGAAGCACACCATCTCTCTGGTGATTACTAAACATCTGATGTAGCACCCGTACAGAGATGCAGACTGGCTTAAATCCATTGCCACAGGGCTAAGGAAGAGACAGAAGCTGCAGTCTGGAGGGTATAGCGGTTTTATGTAATGCTGAAATCAGAGCAAAATTCCAGAGGAATTTCACTTAAGGCTTTGAAGAATATAAAGCTTCTAATTATTCCCACCTCATTTCAAGTCTTTAGGTTAAAAGGGAATATTAAAAAAATTATTTCCACAAAAAGTATGCAATAGCGTTGGACTACAGACTGGCCATATATCCTGGATAAATACAAATTGAATCTTTGATTCCTGCATAAATATCTTCACAGGGGCACTGGTAGTAAAGACGACGCTAGAGATTCCATGCATTAAATCTATGGCTGATCAATACAATTTAAGTATGTATCTGAAGGTGCCACATGTTTTTCCTCTTAAATAAATGCCAACAGGTTGGGTGTTCCCACCACAAAAACAACTGATGTCTGTGGGAATCAAGCTAAAATAGTTCATACCAACCAAAATCGCCTGTAGGCAACTATCCAAAGAAAATGACTCAAAAGTTCAAAGGAAGATGAAAAGGTTTAAGCAGAGGTAAACGTACCGTTGCCATTTAAAAAGAGGAAAATAACATTCAAAAGCCAAGTAATAGATTAGTTATTCGTTAATACAAATTTAGAAGGGAAAGGAAAAAACAAAAGACTCATCAGGTCCAAGCTATTAAGAAAAAAATTGTACTAAATTTGTGGTAAAACCTAAAAGGAAAACATTGTTTATAAAAAAAAAAAAATAAATGTTTTGTGGGAAGGTTTTATTTTGAAGTGTCCTTTCTTGTTTCTAAACTGTACAATTTTAACTACATATAAAATCAGTTGTATATTTTAAAGTCATTTCTCGAGATGCTAGAGAAAGCAAGAAAGACCAGAGCGCTCTCTCCAACCTTATTCTGAATATGGCAATAAAGCTCTACATCTTCCCCTGATGTCTCTTTAAACTGCTGGCATAAGGGTATTATACCTCTTTACTTAAAGGAGACAGACAAGTTGACAAACGGACAACAGGTTCTTCTATTTGGAAATGGCTTTGGTTGTGATATACATGGAAACTAACAGCTTTTAAGCACAACCTGCAGGCTCTAAAACAGCCGCCTGACTAATGCACCTTACAGATTTTAACAGACCTAGTGCTACACCGTAAATAATATCTTAAATGTTTGTTTTAGTTTATGTATCACATAATAAAGGGTTCATAGAATGATTATATAGGGGATTTGGTGCTGGTCCTTAAGGTCTCTGAATAGGGTGTGTAACATTGGTTGGGCTGAAAATGGCATATTTGCTGTTATATGAGCCCTAATGCCAGCCTGGTTATAAGCCATAGAAGGAAACGACAGGTTTACTTCCTTTTATGGTATGCTCATGAATATTTAGACGAAATGTGCGCCGATTGGTTGGTTTACAATGACCAAAGCGGCTATGCAAAGACACATCATAGCAACAAGCACTCACTGAAACATCCAAATAGTTGATATGGTAGGGTGACCAGACGTCCTCTTTTTCCCCAGACATATCCTACTTTCTACACCTAAAAAAATTTCTGGGGGTGGGGGGATTTCAAAATTGTCCGGGATTTTGCTTGATTACAGCGCTAATCAACTGTGTATGCAGAAGGAGTGTCTCTCCATACAAATTAAATCACTGCAGCAAAAACCAGATAAGATGCCATTAGTAACTAATAGAACAACGATAGCAACCTTTTCTACATATCTCTGAATAACAGCAGGAAGACATATGAAACATTATTACAAAAAACATTACACATTACAAAAAAGAAGAAAAAAAAGTTTGAGCTGGACATGCTCCATTTTAATTAAACAAAAATGACTAAATATTAAAGGACCTCCTGTCCTTCAGCCTTGTTCTCGTAGTAAGATCTTTCAGCCTGACTCAAAGGAAGAGCTGCAACAGTGGATATAAAATTCAAAGGAAGGTCTAGGTAACCTTGACTGTAGACGGAAGCTAATATGCAGCGGCCTCAGAGATCAGCCTGTTCATGTCAGCTTCACCAGGAGCTTCTGTCAGTTGTTTTTCTACCTCTAAAAGCAACTCCAGTCATTTTAAAACTGAAACCACTCACGTTTTCTAATAAATGCTTCAGCAGTCAGTAGCTTGAGGCTTTTGTAAAACAAAAAATAAAACAAAGAAAACAACCCACAACCGCATGCAAAAATGCCAAATCCAGGAGAAAGATTGCAAATACATAACAGACAGAGCATCAGATCTAGGAAAAAGGCCAACAATCACTGACATTACCTGTGATTTTGTCTCGAACCAGTTTGCAGGACTCGATTTCTCCAATACTTCCAAACAAACTCTTGAGCTCCTCCTGGGTCATGTTCTGAGGCAGATAGTTGACTATCAAGTTAGTTTTACTGTCCTCTATGCTCCCCGACTCTACAGGTGAGGAGCAGTTGTTTGACATTGTTGAGGGACCATTGCTCGTGTTGTTGCACGTTGGCCCATTGGACATCTGTGTTTCCATGGTCGCAATTACCTGCTAAAGAGACAGAAGGAAAAAGAAAAAAAAATGCGTTAAGGCTCTATTATAGACATATGGTGACAAAAAATGCACAGTTAAAGAAGGAAGCTATTTATACCTCAAGACATTGTTCTGTTCAAGTTAAATATTTGGTGATCTCAAATTGATTAAAAAGGAAAAACTTGTAGTAATACAATGGGATATTTTAAAAGCATTTGTATAAAGTTAAAAGAAAATTAGAATTAAATAGAATTAAAAGATTTTGCTTCTGCTACAATTGATGCTCTTTGCATCCATAACTATTACACTTAAGAAAAAAAATAATACAATTCCACTTGTTTTCAGCAAAATTAAGTAGATGTACCAGAGCCCCTAGAAACACCCAATCTGCAGACATCAGTTAAGCAGCGTCGAAATAAAAAAAAAAACCTTTAGACTGTGCGAGGCAGTCTGCTACAAGCTAATATATGAAGAGTCATACTTTATTAACAAATTCACCATGTGTAGAGAGCAGATTGGTGTAATCCCGCCACAATCAAGATTTTTCTTTAAACAGTCAAATTTGTAAAAAAAAAAAAAAACTGATTAAGGAGGCTTCAACCCCACCAACGAGAAAATATAAACATAACCTTGTTCTGAACATTAAAATATGACCGAGCCAATATGATTGGTATGGCCTGAGCACTAAGAGAAAAAGACCTTCCAGCCAAATGATTTCAAGATATAAAAAGTGCCACAGACCCCAGTCCAAGGCTCAGGAGCCCACGAACCACTTCTAAGCAGAGAAGCCACATCGCACAGTCTGACTGCCATGTTAGTTTGGAGTTGCCGTCTGAAAATATGGACACAAAAAGTACTTCATGTTAGAGAAACAAGGATAAAAACAGTCAGATGAGATGTTCTTTTAGGGAGGTTGATGAGGAGGCTATTTTTATAACAGGCTGTCCATGCAGATGACTTTGAACAGGGGGGAAAAAAGCAAAACGCAATGTTTAAGTTTGTCAGACATCTACAGTGAAAGACCTGCCTTAGAGATTGAAAGCTTTGAGGCAAGAAATAAACCTCAACAATACGGCAAAATGGCAAGAGTGATAAAACAGTTTAATATTTTTGCTTTGACAAAAAGGGAGCAGGTACATTTCAGTAGGATTGAAACTAATGATCATTTTGTTAATGTATTAATCTGTTTATTTTTTTATCCATCAGATATCAAAAGGTGCCTCAAAAAGGCTATTCAGAATACAAAATGTTTGCATAAGAGTTCCAATTTTGGTATAATTAAGGACTGGAATGCCTTCCAACCTAATGGCATGTGCTAGACTCTATATTCCAGTTAATGATTAATCAAGTTGACATTTAAAAACTGATTAATCATTAATTCAATTAATTGTTTCAGCCTAGCATTTACCCATTTGATGTTCAATGATTTATAATAAAATTCAAATATCCAGTGAAATTTCGAGAGCTACAACTAATTATGCCAATTGATTAATTGGTCCATTATCCAAATTAATTGGATTGCTAATAGTAAATGAAAACATCTTATATCCACTTTATCAAAAAATGAACATTTGGACCAACAAAACAATTTCCTGTTAAAGTATTAAACATTAAATTATTGTACCTAAAGAACTTCATGTTGAATCAGATTCTAAATTATTTGAGATTCAATATGATCTGTACAAACAACCAAAAAAGTGCAATAGAAGCGTTCTTGTAAAACTGCAATCTTGGTGTGCCTCGCTTGGTGCTGGTGCACCAAGAGAATAAAAAATAAAAAATAAATAATTGAAATCAAACACAAAGCCACCAGAGCAAAGACTTCCCTACTGACAAAATCGGCCAATTTAAAAAAAAAATTATTAAAACTAACAGCAGTCCATTTAAACACATGCTACATTTGTCTTCCAGTGATGTTTATATCATTTATATCATTTGCAATTTTTGATGTTCAATAGATCATACCTTGTTTTTTCTTCTGAGAGTCCTCTCAGGACACCCTCAAATTTTTGTAAAATACCTCAAATCTACATGCATCTTGAGCCAGTGTACCAACAGAATTTAATTATGGTTACATAATGACACAAACGATGTGCAAAATGCCCAAATTGCTCTTGGATGTTTGCTCGCGACCACTCTGCTCAGATGGACAAGCAGAACTAACACACCTTAGGGCAGGGGTAAACAATCAAAAAACAGCGGGGTCCAAATTAAGAAAAACAACCAGTAATTTAACACTGAAATAAAATGCAGATGTTTACGCATCCATTAACATTTTGAATAAAAAAATATTAAAAATAGAATGTTTTTCTATGTTAAAATATAAATCTTTTAATTTGGAATATAGAAAACTGTGTGTGTTTTTTTCCCCACATGCACATATCAAAGTGCTCATTTGAGTGTGGATTGATATTTTTGAATATGTTCAGCCAAACATACACTGTGCAGGGTCATCTTTGAGCACGCCATTTCATTTTTCACCAGTGCACAATGCTGCTTCCAGCAGTCCACGCTTTCTCTACTCTTTTCTCATCTTTCTCACCACCTGGCTTGCCACAGGTTTGCCTGCTGTGTCTAACAGTAGCTAGCAGCAGCAATCCAGACTGACACAGCTCATTGGCTAATTTGTATCATGTGCAGCCTAGTGCTGGACGCTCCGGAGGCTTTACCATATTAAAAGAGATGCAAGTGATGTTTAGAAACCGTTGTCAGACAACATGCAGTAATTTATAAATGTTTTAAGTCAGGTTGGGTCCAGATTAGCCAGCAGGTGGGTCTGGATCCTGACCACGGGCAGCTAATCCTGACCTCTGCTTTAGGGTCTGATGTCAGAAGTTCAAAACTTCAGCACTTTAAGGAAAATTTAACAACTGAGCATCAGAGTGTTTCTATAGTGAATTAAACCATGTGCATTTAAGCATAAAGTAAGGCTGGGTGATCAATTTATCATATCAGCTTATGAGGAATATTTTTTGAAAAATCTGTCTCTTTTGCACTACTTTGGCTTCCATAGCTGAGACATCCCTTCACCTTTTCTTCTGAGATGTATACCAATACCTGATAAACTAGCTTGTTGTGCAATATTGTGTAGACAAATATCATACCGTCATTAATCTACTAACAAGCAGACAGCACCAGGTGATAAATCAGACCAACACTGAGGCATGCAGAACATTATTTTTTATAAATAAATCTCATTATCCATTTTGCTCTGACAGACTGGCAATATGGGGATCATCAAGCTTGACACTGCATCTATGCCTTTAAAGGTTTCTCCCTCTATCTGCTGGTGGGGCAGGAGGCCTTGAGTCATGTCGCTGACAAAGTCTGAAGGGTTTTGTTATTGCCAACTTGAGATCTTCAAAACAGGTTTCTCATGTATAAATAAGCTAAATGTGGGTAAAAACATTGTGTGGCAGTAATGCTCATTTAAGTTCAGTGCATCAGCCTAATGTCAGGATCATTTTGTTCGGTACAACCAGCCATTGCACTGACATGTGCTGAATAGAACCATAGAAAGAGAGGCCAGATGTGAACCAAAGGGCTGATGTTAATAAAAAAATTCAATAAAGGTTATAGTTATTCTTCTGGAGCCAAGATTTTAATGGCATGCTGGCCAACCACTGATTGAGGTTACACATTTTGAAAACGAAACAACTTTGGATAAAACAACTCACCGCTGTTTAGCTCCCTTCACCCCTAGTGAGGCTTTGTTATTTCAGTTACTACATAATCACCCTGGTATGCTTTTTCGATGTCAAATTACTTTCCAGAGCTTGCATATTATATTGCATTTATCATTATTTTATCATTTATTATATTGCATATGTTCATATCTTGTGTTTTGTTAAGCACTCATACTCATTTGATAATGGCAACACTGGATCCATTCTAAATTATTTAATCGATTTGATGTTGCAGATTCAAATAATTTATTTATTTATTTATTTTTACTTAGGATAAATGTAAAAGAAAATGTCAGAGTTCTAAAAATCTACACAAATTTCACTGATACGCACTCGTCATCTCAGTTGACATTATGGCAGATGAAATCTGTTTGGCAATTCAAAGGAATAACCAAATAACTGATGAGTTATGTAGCTTTTACCAGTTCAACAGTACAAAAATGTCACTTTCAAATTATGAAACAGATTTGTGATTGCAGTAAAAATCAAAACTCGCTGTACAAAAATTGCAAAAGCTGAATCAGCAGGAAAGTATCAAGGTTTTAAAAACCTCAATTTTTTTTTTTTTTTTTTTACTGAGGTCCCAGATAAAACGTCAGAAGTTTTCTCTGGATTGTAAAGCCCACAGACATTTAGATGAAAAAGAAAAAAAGATGTTTGTAGTTGTTTGAAATGGGGATCGTCCTTGTGAGGAATTAGGGTGAGTCCTACCATTTGGATCATGCAAATCTAAATATATAGTAACAAGGCTGACATGCTCTAGTTGTGCAGACAGAGTGAATAACTGAGCAATAGTCTATAATAGTTGTGTTAAGTTAAAAATTGTTTAGTGCAGGGCTATTTGCACAACTGCACCTTGTGCACAAGAATGTTAGGCCCACCAAAACTACATTTAACACTGTAGCTTTACAGACCTGCCTTTTTAAAAATTATTCATTAAATGACTGTTCAAAAAAAAAAAAAAAGTGCTCTAGTTGGCGCTCTTAGTTGTTGACCTTGGCGAAACCAACATGTCAGAATATCAAAGTCTTCTAGACTTGGCCCAACTACACAGATTCTTACAATAATTATTTTATCCCAATTCTTGATCTTTATGGGGAAATGGAATTCACAACACAAAAGTGGAAAAGGTGCATGAATTGATAAAACAGCAAAATACAATAGAACTTAAGACCACAATAGTAATTTTAGTAGAGAGGGTTAATGCAACCTTTAACGTATAGTTTAAAAGTTATTATAAACCAAATTAATTGATCAACTCCTTATACATAGGCTCAGAAACTTTCCTACGAAACTTCTGACGTAATCTCAGATGACTTTATGACAGATGACAAATCAAAGGATGATCTCTTACTACATAACCAAAAAAAAAGAAAGAAAAAAAGTGAACAAAAATGCACATATCCATAAGGTCCTGTCGAATACTTATTGTTTTTGTTCACATGCAACCAGGTCCTGACAAAATGTGTGAAAAGTACTATTACTTTGTTCAGCCAGTTATTGTAAATAAACTGTCTCAATGAAGTAAGCTAAACATTGTATAAATTAAGTCCACAATTCCCTTTAAATTCTGGCTATTGTAGATTTTAAGGACTTAAATTTGACCATGTAGGGAGCAGAGCTGGCATTTTAACAGAAGGAGAGAAAGAAAATTTATGGCGACAAATATGTAGTTCAACAGTGACCAAAAACCAGATTTGATTAGATTCCTACAAAGGAGAGCAATTTAGGTTTAGAAACATTTTATTTCAAAGTCAAGTTAGTACTTTTGTTTTTATTTTTCATTTTTTTGCACTTTGATACCAAAAGGACACTGCCCTACTAACACCCACCTACCACAAGGAAACAGATTTGCTATTGTTTTAAAATCTTCCTTACAACTGCTTGTAAAACTTAAAATAAAGATTTTTTTTTTGCTGTTGCACCATAAAAAAAAGTAAGGATGGACAATTTTATCAGCATGTTATTGTATCAATATTTACTTCAAAATTAAATATTGCCCATTTTAAAACTCAACTGGCACAGTAACGGAAACTGAAAATGTATTTTCAACTGTGAGTCTTATATTGTTCGGCTTCCCTAAAGAATTTATAAAAATTGAGACAGCAGACATCTTCTGGCTTAAAGACAAAAAATTACCCTTACA